TACATCGTATTATCGAGACTCTACTGTACAACGTGAAGAAGATGCTTGTGGCGAATGGGGTGGCGTGCAGGCCTGCGGTTTGAGAAGGTGATGGATCACATCTTCTCGTAAAGAAGCTAGCTGTGAGTTGCTTCCTTCTCCCATGAATTCTCACTTGCTAGATGATCCGTCCACCTAACAAAATACTCCATCTTTCCTCTCCGTTCTCGCTTCTCGAGTAACTGCACGCCAAAATAGTTCCCTTGATAGCGTGCCTCAAAGTCATTATGAGATCTGAACTGATGTCGCCCCGTTTCTGCCAAGTATTATCCTCATCCCTGAAGCCTGCCCACTTCACGAGGTACCAAACCACATTACGTACTGTTGACTTGGCAAGCAGCGCTTCAACCTGGCAGATTCCTTCCGTGGCGTCGATTGCCACCAGATCGCTTTCCACTCCTTGTCTGCTACAACGTGGCTGCGCTGTCATGTGCTCTTTGTTCCTAGTTAATAGTATGCTTTCGTAAGCATCCTTGGTCGAGTCGGCAGTTGCTGGTAGAATTGGTGTGGAAGGAAGAGAGCATCTTGAAGCTGTGGATCAATTAAGTCCATTTAATCTACAATATGATATCTCTTCATTCATGCGAGATCTTCTACAGATTAGAGCAGATACTTTCAAATATCAAACTATCATTCATGCTTTTCAAAGGGCAGGAATGTGGCCTGTGAATAGTGCAGTTTCTCTTGCGAAAATCTAGAAATACTCAAGGCCATTACAAGAGGATGAAACACAACCTTTGCTACCTACGTTGAAGAATTTAGAGAAGCAACTTTAAGTAACTATGGAAAGATAAGTTTACTCCATTGTTAAGTACGTCAAAACAGCAATTTCATACTTCATTGCAAGGGATAAATCCTTGGTTTAAGACCACATTGGCCGGCAGAAGTTTCCCATGTAGAAACTCCGCTTATGTACAACGATGCATTGTTTCTCAAATTCCCTGTGTTCCAACTTCAGATCTGAGGCTTTTCCGTGGCTAGTAGGAAATGATGGGACCTTGCTGAGCATGCTTTGAAGTTGAACACATTCATGTTACTCCTGTGCAAAGGACGCAATCCTGTTAGCTATATATTCTCTAAAGATGATCTAGGGAGATGTGCATACTCAGTGATAACAGTAGCACCCATTTTTACAAAGGTCTTTTCTTAAAATAATAAGTTTTTTTTAGTTTAGAAAGTTAGAAGTTAGTTGCTTCCTTCCAGGCAGAACTCATCACCTATTCAAACCCCACGCGCCCAAATAACCGTCAGCGCATATACATAACGATCCCCTCGCTGCAATCCTTATAAAAACCACCTGATTCTTGCATATCGGGACAGCACACCCCTTCTCCCACGACCGTCCCCGACCGACTCCATCTGGGTTGTGCAGTGCAGACGGCGTTTCACGAGAGGGAAGCAAACGCGGGGTAGGTAGGGTATCCAGAACCCCAACCACAAGTACGAACTAAAGCGCACACCTCATCTCAAAAGATTCTATTCCCACATCTGTCTGTCTGTCTGTCTTTCTATCTCCGGATCCCCATCATCCCTACAGCGCCTGTCTCAGCCCCCATACCCCTTACCACCCCTTACCACCCCTATCACCCCCTAATCCCCCCAAACAAAAGCAGATACACCCCCCCACGTCCCGCGCCGAAAAATAATAACAAAACAGGCGCCCAATACAGTAAAGTAGAACAGCAGAGTCAGCAAAAAAAAATAACGCAAGTCCCCGGCCCCCTTTTACCACGCACGCGCACGCGCCCAACTCCTTCCCCCAGCCCAAGACTCCCTCGTCCGGTCATCAAGCAACTTCTTCACTCCCAACCGGACAATACTCCCTCCCCATCCCAATCATCTGTCTCACTTCCCATAGTCTCAGCACCCAACCATCAACTAAAGTATAGTCCCAAACCTCCCATCGTTCAAAATACTCTTCCTCGGGCTCTCCCCCCCTTCTCCCCCCGTCTTGCGATGGCGGAACGTAAACCCCACAAACAGCGCCTTCCCCATCGCCCCCTCGCGATCCGCCATATTCTCCAGCGCAGCCTGCTTATCGTGCACCTCCTTGTACTTAGCCATGTCCGTCTCGTTGCTGAAGTCGTCAAAGTAGCCTGCGTCGGTCTCCGAGTCGAGCTCGGGGACGAAGGGCGCGCGCTGGGTGCGGAGAGTGGTCCAGTCCACTTCGGCGAAGTATTGGTGCGTGTAGACGGATTGGATGTTGGGGAAGCGTTTGGTTTTTGAGGCGATGAGGCTGTGGGGTGTTGTTAGTTGAGGGTTGCTATTTGGTAGGTAGGATTAAGGGGGTAGGGGGGCATACTTTGTGATAAAGTTCCACGTGCGGTTGCTGATGAAGTAGTTCGGGTCTTCCCACGTAGGTCTCTTAAGAACTTCCCGCCAGTGCTTCAAGTTCTTCCAGGTCTCATCAACAGTAGCTCCAGCAAACGGCGGGAACCCAGTCAGTGCCTCGAACAACATGCATCCCAGACTCCAGTAGTCGACCGAGAACTCGTATTCGTCACCCTTAAGAACCTCAGGGGCCATGTAGTCAGGCGACCCGACAATGGACTTTGCGTAGTTGACGTCCTTGTCGCGCATAGACCTGTATCCCTCGCGGCGCTCAGCGACGGTACGCTGTTCCATTGGCTTGCCGAAGGGGACGGATGTCTCTCCGACTTGCTCGAGCTTGATGCGCATGGATTCGATCTTGCCAGGGGCGAGCATACCGGCAGCGAGCCCGAAGTCGGTGAGTTTAACGTGGCCTGTGGAGTCGATGAGGAAGTTCTCTGGCTTCAGATCTCGGTGAATGTATCCGAGTTGGTGCAGGGCGTCGATGGAGCAGAACATTTCGGCGATGTAGAATCGGGCGTGGCGGTTGGCCAGGACGCCGGTGTTGTTCAGAAGTGTCCTGAAATCTCCTCCTGGAACATATTCCTGGATATAATTAGTATAATCTTCCGTCCAGCCATTTCTGCTTACCATTGCCAAGTAAATACTCTGTTCGTCCTGGAATGAATACAGAAGTCTGACCAGCCACTCGCTCTTGGCATTCGTGAGAATATCTCTCTCCGTCAAAACATGTCTAATCTCATCCAGCTTAAAAAGAAGCTTCTTGCTCATAACCTTCAACGCACAAACCTCCCTCGTATCCTTCTTCTGCGCCAAGAACACCTGACCATACCCACCCTGACCGACCTGGGTAAGAATCTGGAAATCGCCCTGGCGGAGACGAACACGGCGCTTCCTCAAATTCGCACGCTCGCGTCCCGTGTATTTATGCCAGAGCGGATCATACATCTCCTCCGCCGTCGCAGGCGGAGCCGGATACTCAGCCCTGAAATGATTTAGACGCGTCTGGCGCGTCCCAACATACGTCAGGAGATCAAAATAATAATCGAGGAAATCTGCCAATTCCAATTAGCCACACACCCTCCCAAACCCCGCACCCTACATCATCCTCGAGATAAACTCACAAAGTTGCGTCACATTCGCCAACCTCTTCACATTCGGCTTCTGCAGAATCTCCAACTCCCCCGCCGTCAACCCGCGCTGCGTATTATACTTCCTAATCGTCGGCGGCGCCGGCTGATCCCTCAACCGATAAATCTCCTGCCTCGACAACACCGCCGGGTTCTGCGCCGTCACCGTCGCTGCTGAAAACTCCTCCAACCTCCCCGCAGGCGACGTATTCTCCTTCCCCTGCTTCCTCGTCGGGCTTCCTGGCACCCCTCCCCCGGCACCCGTAACGGGCTTATGCAAGATACTCTCATCGCCCACGCTCGACGCCTGCGCGAAAAAGGAGTCGTCGACTGGAGCAAGCGCATTGCTCTTTCCGGGGCTGAGAGGACGAGTGGATGTGAGTTTTGTGGGGCTGTCCAGCGCGGCGGGGGCGACTCTCATAGCTGCGTCGAAGGCGGAGGGGAGGTCGATTGCACCAGGGGGGTTGCGGTTTTTCGACGGGCTGCCCTGCGGCGTTTGAGTGGGCGTGATGAAGCTCGCGCGGTTGGTGGGAGGGGTCGAGGGACGGTCGGAGTATGTGTCGTTGTGGCTTGCTCTGGTGTGGAGGGGTGGAGGAGGGGCGGGGAGGTTGTCTGAGGAGGGCGGCGCCTTCCCGGCTTGCGAGCTCGTGAAGAGGTTTGCCATGAAGCTCGACATTTTGGAATAGAGCTGGGGGGTTGGCGGAGGGTGATGAGGGATGGTGACGGTGAGGTAGGTGTGGGGTTGGATATTGTGCGGAGCGGAGAAAGTTGGTTGTGCCTTGCTGGCAAGCTCGTGTAAATTGTAAATAGACCCTTGTCCACTCTCGTCCCGCTGAAGGTAAACACTCAAGACGCGGAGGTCAGGGGCGTACAAACTTCGCAGTTCAATGCAGGACGTTGGATTTTTTGAGAGCCTGGAGAGGCGCGCCAGGTGCTTTCGGGGGGACCAGGGTTGGGTTTGTGGTGGATGTGCTTGGCGGGGCGAGGGGCAGGTACGTGGGAGATCAACAAATCGAGGGAGGAGGTTGTTGTTGCGACAGCAACCGACGGAAATCAAGGGACGTACCACAACCAACGGTATTTTGGTATAACTGTGCCTACGGTGGGTATTACAACATATATGCAAATAAAATGTAAGATTAAATTGGACGTTTCATGAGGGATTTTGTATTTTCTATATCCAGCTGTGTTCAAGCCTATAGTTAATAATAATACATACCTAGATTCCTTGTTAACATTCTCTCTGTACTGTCGTGCCTTCCGCCTCGTCATCGCATCATCGAGTAAGACACGCAGATTTCAACATACCTTCCTCCTCACAACTCAAAACCTCCAAACAACCCAAAGGAAGTAAGCAAGTAGAGCAAAACAGCAGGATAAAATTCAAGCTAAGGAAATAGTTCATACTGTACTGTACAAAAACGTGAAAGCCCCTACTAAAGAGCTACCCCCCCCCCCCCCCCGGGGCGCCGAACATCCATCCACCCCCCCTCCGGATATCCCCTCTCAAAACGTCATCGCACCAAAACGACAAGCAAAGCCCACAGCACCAGCACGAGTAGCAATCAGATCAAGGGAAGAAAAGCTTTCACTCTTCAACTACGATACGATAGATGTACATCATACGTCCCCAGCACCACCACCAGCTATACACTCTCCACTCTCCCCTTTCTCCCCGACTACCACGTTATCACCTCCACAGACCACCTCTTATTCTTCTTACTCTTCTTCTTCTTCTGTTCTTCTTCCCCACTAATCGCGGCCCCCTTCACCTCACAGCAGGAGCCTGTGCCTCAAAACACTTATTTAACAAAGAGGACTGATACACAAGAGAAGCACGCGTACTGCAGACGCGCGCCCTCTTCGCCACCACCGCCGCCGTCGCCGCCGTCGCCAGAGCCGCCTCCCTCACCACCGCCTCCACATTCCCCAGATCAGCATCAAGCTTGAGTATCAACGCGCGCCAGTCCGGCAGCGCGGGCGCGCCCATAAGCCCGCCCGCGGCCGCCGGGGCCTGGCTCGGCGTGAACTTCAGCACGACGTCTGTCCAGCGCTGGAAGACGGCGTCGGTGATGTGGAGGCGCCAGTTGACGGCAACCAGGAAGGCCATCTCGTTCTGGTTGATCTCGTGGGCGCTGAGGCCGCAGATCTTGCTCCACGCGCGCGCAGAGTAGTTGCGGTCCTGCAGGTACTTGGAGGCCAGGATGAGGGCCGACAGGAACATGCGGCGCCCGCACTGCAGGGCGCGCGTCGCGTGGCTCTCGTCCGGCTGCTCCATCGTGAAGTCGAAGCTGGGCACGTGGGGCTTGATGAGGATGAGGTAGTAGAGCGCGACTTGGAGCGTGGAGTAGCTGGTTTGAGACCGCCGCAGGGTCTCTTGGATGAAGGTGCGCAGGGGGAGGACGCCTTTGGCGCCCATCTCGCTACGGCACACGACGGAGGAAAGGGGCCAGATCGCTTCAACGATTTGGGCGGAGGAATCTGAGGGGGGAAGAGTTTGAGTACGTGACTTGCTTGGGGGGTTGGTATTTATCTTACCGACTAAGCTATCGACAAAGCTGACCTTTCGGTCGCACTGTCGAACCAGAGAAGGGGGGGGGCGCGCTTTGCGCGAGGCGAGTTTGGAGGTGCGCCTGGGATGCGGTCGTTTTTGGGGAACGCTGCTCGCCAGGACGCTTTTCGGCCAACATTCCGTCGGGGTGATGACGTCGCATTGGTCTTCTAGTGATTGGTATGATGATTGCCGGGTTGTGCGACAGTAGGCGTCCGATTGTTCTGAGTCGGACGAGCCTCCCGAGTGTACTGACGAATCGTCCGAGGATTGAGAGGCGGCGTCTGAGAAGACAGACGCACACGAGGATGAGGCGGAGGAAGAGAGTGACGAGCTGTATGGCCCATCGTGATGATATGTTGTGATAAAAGGCGGCGACAATTCAACATCGCCACTGTTCATCTTGAATTAATCGAGGTTACGAGACTAGCATCAGAAGACACAGAAGACTACTCCGTAAAGGGACGCAACTCCAGTCGCCGTCTATACAAAACCAACCGATAATACCGTTTGCAGACTAGTCCCGTGAGATTCCTGACCTGATGCTGAGCTTCTAAGACGTAACACGTAGTGTGTTGCTGTATAGAGCTGTATGAATCGAGTTTCGAAAGCAGAGGCTACACAGAAGAGACCCGCGCAATGGAGATCCTTTCAGAGACGATAATACCGGTGGACAATGTAAGAGCGGCGACTGGAGGAGAAAGTAGAATATCGAGGATCATCGTGGCCTGTCCGAGTTCAAGCAAGTCTTTCGAGGTGGTGGCTAGATCCCAGCTACCATCTGAAAAGTGAGTGTTGTTTGAAGATGGAGAGGTAAGGACGCGTTGCTGTTGCTGCTGCTGTTGCTTTTTAAACCAGGACGCTGATATACATATGAAATAATTAAAATGACTGTGACTGAGGAGAGTTTTTGTAGAAAGGAAATGTCTCTTCTTCTTGAGTACGTGTAGGCTGAGGCCAGGCAGGCGTTCGAGGAGGGTTGTGACTCTGAGAGTGGCAATCATGGGTTAGCCGACATATTCATTCCAGGCCGGAGGACAATGGGGCGAACGCCTCTTTTTTGGAGGGGGGGGGGGGGAGCCTACAGGTCTGTGTAATTCGTTTGGTAGAAGCGCTTTCAAAGAACTTTTGGACGCGATGCTGCCTTGAACGTATATTTTGTTGTTGTTGTTTTTATTTTATTTTTTGGATGTCGGGGTGAGTTTGATGTAGAGGGAGGTTTGTGGTTGGGTGGTTTGTGGTTGGGTGAGTTGGTTGGTTGGGTGGTTGTTGGCGTGTAGTGTAGGTTGCGCTTTCTGACGGGGGGTTATGGGTAGAAACCCATATTCTGGTGGCAAAGCGGACGAGGTTTTGGATGTTCTTTGGAGCGGGGAGAAGTCGCAACAAGAGGATTAAGTGTAGATAATAGGTTTGACAAGATAAAAGAGGATTGAGCGGGGGGGGTTTTGGCAAGAATGGGATTCACAGTGCAGACTTCGACGAGCCGCTCTCTACTGTTGGAAGTGGTCCATTTCTGCGTTGGGTAGGCAGGAGGAGGAGGGAGTTGGGGCGGGGATAGAGGGTGAGTTTTGTTACTTTTTCGTCGAGAGCGAGAGCGAGAGCGAGAGCGAGAGCGAGAGCGAGGGAGCAACCAGGCTGAGAGCGGAGGAGGGCGGGAACATTGATTAGTATGGGTGGGATGGGAGAGTGACTTGTTGGCAGTGGTGAGTTACAGTAGTAAGACAAAGTACCACCCACGTACTCCGTAGGCAAGTGGCACAATAACACCAATTAACAAATGGGCGCCTTGACAAATTAACAGTACTCCGTATGTGGCAGTATGTGCACCCACACCTAAAGGGTGGGTACATGGGAATTGGATCCAAGGAGTGGCAGTGGAGTGGTAATGTGGAGTGGCAGTGGAGTGGCAAGTTGGGGATTTCTAAAAAGATGCCGGGGGGTCTTAGTGGTTGACGCTGGTTGACGCTGGGTTGACGCTATACGCTGGTTACGCTGGTTACGCTGGTTACGCTGGTTACGCTGGTTATACGCTGGTTACGTTGGTTACGCTGGTTGACGCTGGTTGGCTCTTGTGCTGGTAATCATGAGGCTACAGGATTACGTGGATGGATGGGATGGGTGGATGGATGGGGTGGGTGTGGATGGAGTGGATGGATGGAGTGGATGGAGTGGATGGATGGGTGTGGATGGAGTGGATGGATGGGTGTGGATGGAGTGGATGGATGGGTGTGGATGGAGTGGATGGATGGATGGATGGATGGATGGATGGAGTGGATGGATGGATGGGATGGTGTGGATGGAGTGGATGGAGTGGATGGATGGATGGGATGGTGTGGATGGAGTGGATGGAGTGGATAGATGGGACGTTTTGCTACGGCTGGCCATTCCTACCCCTCCCGCATTCCCTACCTACGTCCTCCGTACTCCGTACATCTCCACATCATTGGCCCTTGCCTTGCCACCTCATAACACCGCCCTCGCAGCCAATCATGACCGATTGCTTACATTCCGCCCATCGCCCTCGCCATCGCCATCGCCATCGCCCATTCCCATCGCCCAGCCATCCCCATCGCCCAGCCATCCCCATCGCCCAGCCATCCCCATCGCCCAGCCATCCCCATCGCCCAGCCATCCCCATCGCCATCCCCATCGCCCATCCCCATCGCCCATCGCCCCCTCCCCAGCCAAAGGAATAGTCTCACAGTTGCCTTGTGATAGTTGCCTGTGGGGGAAACATGACTGTACATTCATCTGAATGACCTGCTCTAGGCGTCAGTCCCATCGGTAGATCAGGGGGGCAAATAGCAACGAGGCGATGCTGCCGCAAACACGCCGCCGTGGTTGCCACCACCATGACCAAAGCCAAGGCTACATCCCATGATTCCAGATATTCCAGTTCACAACTCGGTATTTGAGATGCCATGGGTGCTCCGTCCCACGCACCCCAAGCGCCGGCCAAGGCGGCAACGCATCGCATCTACTTGTACTCCCCCTCCTCGCCATCCGTTTCACAGCCGCCGAATGCCCTCTTATGAATCCACAGCAGCGCAGCTGTGGGACAAGGGAATCGCACGCCGCATCAGACGTCTATCCTGCGCCCCCCTTCGGGCCCCCGAGACCGAGACCGACATCCATACTGTAACTCCGTACTGTAACTACTGTACCTTTGCCTTAGCCCTCGATGTACGCCGAGGGCGAGGGCGAAGGTACGAAAGTTACCCCTCCCCGATCCGAGCATCCCATCCCAATTCATCCCACACAGCCAACACCCCCCCCCCCGTATACGCGCCCGCTCATTGGCCCCATCGAGGGGAACAAACACTTCAATATCAGATCCGTGCTGGTTATGACATTGCGGCGTTCGAGCGAGCGATGCGAGGGCTCACAAATCGCTGACTGACATTGACTTTAGTGCGACACTGGTTGCAACGGCTGGCTAGCTCGTCGCACTCGCGATGATGCCGTTTGCGGTGCCGGAAATACGTGTACAGACTCCAAATCAGGAGCTGTACTCACACTCGGTAATCACCCTAACTTGCTGTCCCTTTGCCCCATCCCAGCTTATGGCATAGTACCCACCGATTATGATATCGCTGTGGATTATACGGAGGTGTTGTTCATAAGTTTTGTGAGTGGGTCGGGCTAGGGCCCCCTGCGTAGGCTGGTTTGGCAATTCTGGCCAAAGTCACGAACACTTGAGTGTGAGAGCAATCAATTCTGTAGAATAATGAGTAGAGTAGATACCTAAACCCCTATATAAAACTATACTATAAGCCTAGTACTCTGTGTGCATACCATTTGCAGCAATTACTGCTGCCATACGTGTAGGCATACTATTAAGGAGAGCATTAAGCTCAGCTTCTCCAACTTGCTCCCATGCTTCCTTAACAGCTACACGGAGCTGGTCGTAGGACATATGTTCTGGATGATTATCTTGTAGATAATTCTTCATAATATGCCACACCCGTTCAATTGGGTTGAGATCTGGTGAATACGGGGGCCATTCTATAGGGCAAATACCACGGGATCTCAACTCTTCATATGTTGCACCTGCTCTATGACCTGGAGCTCCATCTTGCATCAATGTAAGGCCTGGGTATAGGCGTAGCCAGCCGTGGATTAGAGGGACAGTATGAGCCATATAGGACTCAGCTCCTATTTTCCCATATTCCTTCTCCCAAAATAGTATAGGACCCTTTCCAAGACCACCTGAGAAGCAGCCCCAGAACATCCAACCTCTAGGGATTGTTAGTAAATCCTATAGTAAATAGGAGTCTCTTACCTTCTCCATTGTACTCTATCTACAACACATGTATCATCCCACATTTCCCCTGCTTTTCGAGTAACCCATGTACGAGTATGGCAGCCTCCCGTTACCCACGTCTCGTCAGTCCAAAGTATCCTATTCCAATCATTCCGTACCCAATCCTTATGTTCAATAGCCCATGAAAGTCGCTTTTGTCGATTTGTCTCTGAGATAATAGGCTTCCGCATAGCAATCCCTTAATAATTATTAGTCTATATAGTAGTAAAGTAGAGAGGGATACTTACGTCGATTATAGCCTCTCACAGACAGAGCGCGGGTTAGGACAAGCCGTGAGCATGGAATATTAAGAATGCGTATTATATTTGTATATGGCATACGCCTATTCGTGCGAGATGAGGCTATAAACTCAATAACCTCTTGAACTTGCTCATCGGATAGGATAAGTGGCCTACCCGAACGCTTCTTCAGAGTTGGAGGGCCCTGGCAAGCATACCAAGCCTGCCGTTCCGTGCAGCCAATATAGGCTGCAATTTTTTGGAACTCCCAATCTAGGGAGCGTAGTAGTGCGCAACGAAGCCGCTCATCGCGAGTAAGATGAGGCATTGTAGTTATTGAAAGAGTATGAATTTCCTACATATAAAATACAATAGTTGGAATTTTGACGCGTTAAAAAGGTACAAACAAGCCTACGCGTACCCATGCTCCAACCCATGCCCAACCCCCGGTCATCTCATGACCCACTCACAAAACTTATGAACAACACCTCCGTACCGTGATAGAGCGCTGAGGAGTGACTCCGCATCCGGGTGATTCTCCCTTCTTCATATGACGCATCAGCATCGTATGATATGATGCTTCGATGCCTAATCTTCCCGAACTTCCGCCCAATCTCGACAGTGAATTAATTTACGAGAATTAGCCGGCTGCCCAGGCAACCCCCCCTTTGTTTTCTCTCGCTATCAAAGTGTCCGTCTGTGTATGACTCTTTTCAATTTCGCCCTCGCCGGCAACCGAGTATTCGCAACCACCACCAACACAAGCGCCGACGTATCCGCCGGTGGGGTGGGCCAGAGGCTTGGGGGGGTTAATTTATCACATTGTTATCGCGTCGTTTGGGGATGGATAGAGGTGATTGATTCCGTCCTTGGCGGCGATGTCTGGTTTAGTCACTTGGTTTCTGTCGCAGTCACCCATTCCCCCTTACCTCTCTATCACTCATACCCGCCAGAACGACGACGCAAGTGCGATGTCGCTCTCCAACCTCACTGTCACTATCGCCGTGCGGGTCCTCGATGCCGCGCCATCTGTTTGCCTCCCTTCTATCACATCTTGAACCGTGTTGCCACGCACGCCCTTCACGCACGCCCTTCAACGCGGGCATGTATGACTCTTACCCCCCCTCCCCCTCCTCGCGGGTGGTGGCCTGGGCGCGGCGCCGCGCGGCGCAGCACTCCTGCCTCCCTTCCCTGCCTCGCTATCCGGTGGGAAGCGACTCATCGAGGTGAGAATAGCTCGAGCTCAGCTCATCTCATCTCAGATCTGACATCGGTTATCCCTTGCGTGAGTCCATCCATGTATCCTCTTCTGCCCAGTCATTCCAGCCACGATCTGGTGGTATGCAAGGGGCAGGCAAGCAGGCGGATCGCGTGCGCGTGCGCGGCTGCCTCCCTGCCTACTGGGTGTGTATTACGCGCAGGCTGCAGGTTATACTTCGGCCGTGAGGGAGGGCCAGCCTACCACCAGAGACCCGGTTCAGGCGAGACGGATCTCCCAAGAAGGCGATACCGTCTCCGGAACCAGCACCAGCTTCAGGAGCCAGTGGTACGGCAAAGTCGGCAGCGGCGGTTTCGGACGAGCGGTTTGCACAGGTGGGGGATTTGGGTGCGCTAGTTTTAACTTTCAGAAGGAGTGGGTGGGGATGTTGTTCGCGGTGGATAGGTGTACGGGAATTGGATTTGTGACGCCGGCGTGGGAGATAGTGAGGGATGTTGAGGAGATGACGCGGGGTACGATTACGCTTGCTTGAGTGTGGTGTTTGGGGTGGTATGGAGGTGGGCTGGGTAACCAGTATATCAATTATAGTCTTGAGTAGTTGAAATCCTTTATTTGAATTATAGTTGCTATTAAACTGCCTGCCACGCACAGCTCCTATCCAGACTCCAGACGCCACGAGTAACCCCCTCTCCACAACCCCCCCAATCACTGCGCATCCTCATCCTCAACCTCCTTCATCGTAACCCTCTTCCCCCCCTTCCCCTCCACCTCCTTCCCCCCTCCCCCATCCCCCTCCCCTCCCCCCTCCCCAGCACCCTTCCAATACCCCTCCCCAGCACCCTTCCAATACCCCCCCCTCTCCAACTCCTCCGCGTCCCTCTCCCCACCAAACCCCCCTCCCCCCCGCCATCTCCATCTTCCTCCTCACCGCAGCCGGCACAAACGCACTTACCGCCTCCTGCCTCAAATCCCTAATCGCTGGCGCAGCTTCGTATACCGTCTTCGCCTCCACCGGGGGCACCGTCATCACCACCTCCTCCTCTTTCTCACCGCATCTTCCGACTTCCCTAGCATTCGCACCGAGAGGCATCGCATTCGCACTACTCCCCTCCCCGCCTCTTCCTGCTTGCTGTGGGTTGTTCGCAGCCCATTTGTCTCGTCGCGCTTGGTACCATTTATCCAACACCTCCTTCGGTATCGGCGGCGGCGTATCCCTCGGCATAGGCACACCTGCTACCTCTTCGGGAACATCACTGTCACTCTCCTCCCCTCCTTTCCCGCCATCCCTTCTCCTCTTTCCCAGCACCCCCCCTCTCCCTCCATCCCTCCCACCCTCCCTATCTCCACCCCCACGCCCAAACGCAGGCGCCTTATCCCCCAACGTCTCCCTCGCCTTCCTAACAGCTTTCAAATCCTTCTCCAGCTCCTCCTTCAGCCGCACCTCGTGAGCAGTTAGTTTCGTGCCGGAAGACTCGACGGCCAGGAGCGAGGAGAGCTGGGTTTGAAGGCGTTCGGGGTTGCGCCGGGATAGCTTTTCGGTCCGGCGGGTTGCGGCTTCTGCTTTGCCTGTGGAAGGGGGGGGGTTAGTTTGGTGTTCTGGGGTGGAGAAGGGGAGGGAGGGGAGGGGGGGGAGGGGGGGAAGAGGAAGGGGAAGTACCTTTCTTGGCGGCTTTTGCCTTCTCGGCTTTGCGCTGGGCTTGCGCTGGGTTTATGGATTTTTCTTTCGGCATTGCGTCGTGTCTGTGTGTTTATTTCCGGATTTTCCTTATAAATATCTCCCGTTTAAGTATTCAAGCGCTTCTACCTAGTAGTTGTCTGATTGTCGGCAGGAGAATTCGTTGTGAATATACTCAGCAAGGTTACGTTCTTCTGAATTCGTGTAGTAGCTAGCCCAGACCCCTTCAGAGGACGCGACCATGCCCATGCGCCCAGCTATCGATTTAGAGTAGTTACGCTAGTATGGATTTGGCGATTTTGCTGGGCTCACCGCTTTGGTGGGGTTGTGGTGGCACGTGATTTAGATGGGTGGGTGAGAGAGGGGACGGTGGGATCTTTTGTCATACTGACATTCGTTGCACTCAGTTTGCTATCAAACTCAAGAGCAAACTTAGAAATCTGATCCTCAAACCTACAAGTCACCATACATATCTTGGCTTATCACACCAACAACAAGAGCAATACTACTCAACAATTGCTGCAAACTCTTCTACTACATCTGTTTATGCTACATACATCACGGCATATCATTTGGACACTCATTGAACAAGTTATTAAGAAAATCTCCTCCTTAAGGGGGTGGGCCAATACTACCACATGGCATATCTCTACCAACTAGAGGCCTAGGAACATGAATGATAGCTCTAGAAGCTTCTACAACCTGTCATACTGACATTCGTTGCACTCAGTTTGCTATCAAACTCAAGAGCAAACTTGGAAATCTCCTCCTCAAACCTACAAGTCACTATACATATTTTGGCTTATCACACCAACAACAAGGGCAATACTACTCAACGATTGCTACAACCATCTATGATTCATTACACGTCATCGCTCCTTAGTTACTGGGCCGATATTACCACATAGCATATCTCTACAACCCTCTATGATTCATTACATGACATCACTCATACTACCACATGACATATCTCTACCAACTAGAGGCCTAGGAGCATGAACGATAGCTCTAAAAGCTCCTACGAACCTCTATGATTCATTACATGTCATCGCTCTTTAGTTACCCACAAGATTGGTTAAGTTATGACATAATTTGTCTATAGGGGTACTCTGACCTTGGACCTCCTTTTACTTCCTATAGGCTACGAACCTAAGAGATGGTTCTATGGGATTCTCTTACGTCGACTACAGTTACCAAGCCTGGTAAGTCATGGAAAGTCTTGGAAAATGAGAGAACTACACTCCTTTAGCATAAATAGGATTGCCCTTTCCTTAAGAAAGGGCAAGCAGACAATACAGTAAATCGACTATCACATACTTCCACGTCTTTTCCAAGCTTCCAAGCATTCATCTTGTTACTCCTTGTTTCTGAAAAGTCAGTGAGGTGTTAACCTCTGACTTACCCCTGAGTTCCCAGACTCAACATTTGTTGCAACTTGTCTGAACCACTTCACTACATCACACACCTGATTGCTGCATTGTGGAATAGTCTAAGCTACGACCCTTTGGCTCTGTTTTCTAAGACAGTGTGTTGTCTTAGTAAATTCATCCCTTCCTTGGGTGGCTAGATTCTCACATCTGGTGCACCCACCATTACACCTTGTCTGCTTCAAGCTTCAACTATTTCTATAGCAGCACTTCGATACTACAATGGAGGACGACCAAGCTCCTACAACTACTGCTGAACAGCAGATGCAACAACTGTTTGCCTTTATACAAAATATAGCAAACAAACTTGAGAATTTGGAAAACACCTTTCAAGCCAACACTTCAGCAACACAATCCTCAACTCAGACACATCATACAGAGCTTCCCACAGCTCCTCTGGCTATGTCGGGTACCCCAGGTGCACTTCCTAAAGTGCAAACACCAGATTTATACCATGGAGACAGGAGGAAGTTGAAGGGATTTCTTATGCAACTGGACATCTACTTCACCCTCAGGCCTCATCAGTTCACCTCAGATATTCAGAAGATATATTTCGCTGCCAGCTACCTCCATGGATCTGCATTCAACTTCTTTGAGCCATATCTTAGAAGACTTAGTGGCAACAACCAAAATACCACTACACCTTTGATTACCTCTTATGACCAGTTTCAAGAGGAACTTACCAGGACCTTTGGAGACATCAACGAAACTGCTACAGCAGAAAGAGAGCTACAGAAGCTATGTCAAAAGACCTCTGCTGCTCAGTATACAACAGAATTTAGGAGAATCACTTCTCACTTGACTTGGAATGAAGAAGCCTTAGTTGTTACGACGGAACAAGAAGGCTGGCCAACTACAGGACAGGAAGGAGGGAGGTCGCATGAGACCGGCCCTGGTACCTGGAGGGGCAGCGGGGAATAGTAGTTCCGAAAGTATCACGTGACGGACTCGCAGGATGATGAGAAGAGTCCTAAGAGTCCAGGACTCCGAGGACTCGAGTGAGTTCCCAGGAGTCCACTAGGCACGTGATGGACTCGCAGGATGATGAGAAGAGTCCTAAGAGTCCAGGACTCTGAGGACTCGAGTGAGTTCCCAAGAGTCCACTAGGCACGACGCCACTATATAAGTAGATAGTATTTCCTTAGATAGGAGCTTCGTGCTCAACTCAATACAGTATTTGTTATATACTAGTAACGTGTTACTTGAAGCCTTTGTGTCTGATCCCCTGCCTCCTCTGATAAGTAAACCTTTACGCAAGAGAACCTCTGTGTCTTCTATCATTTAGAAGTCAGCGTTACACTTTGAGCACCACTTCTACGAGGTACCGGCTTACACACAAAGCAACATGTCTGTCGTCAGTTCGAAGGGGAAAACCCCCACCACGCCAACTTCGTCTCAGAGGTCTAAGCCTGAGAATGAGGAGATGCCCGACGCACCCACCGTCAACGAACTCAAGGAAACTCTACGCGTCAAGTTGCCCGACACTTACTCTGGCAACCGAAAGGAACTTGAGGTGTTTTTGCTACAGGTCGAACTGTACCAGCACTTCAATGACGAGAAGTTTCCCACCCAGGAGAGCTATGCCCTGTGGACTGCGTCCTACCTTAGGGGGGAAGCCCTGCGATGGATCGAACCATTCCTCAAGGACTATTTCAAATATGAAAGTACCAATGGAAGCATGACAACTACGCAGACTATGTTTGGCAGCTGGAATGGATTCTGTAAGGAAATCCGACGCATGTTCGGAGACATCGATGAGATTAAGACCGCAGAAGACCATCTGTTTGCACTTAAGCAGACTGGCAGCGCCCTCACATACTCCACAGAATTCCAGAGATACGGCAATCAGACAGGATGGGACGCCAGCGCACTCATCAGCCACTACCGACGTGGGCTGAAGAGCCATATACGTATGGAACTTGCCCGTTTGGAACAACAACCAACGGACATGGTAGCGCTAATCGAACATACGGTCCGAATCGACAATCGACTATACGAATTCCAGAAGGAACGTCGGACCTATGACAAGCCCAAGAAAAGTTACCCCTACCGGGGAAACGAGGGCAGACGACGGGATCAACACCCGCGAGACAACCGTTGGTCGGACCCAATGGAACTCGATGCCACGTTCAAACCTGGACGACCCCGTGACCCTAAGAAAGACAGACAATTCAAGGAACGACTCTGTTTTAACTGCGACAAGCCAGGCCACATGGCCCGAGACTGCAGACAGCCAAAGAAAGGGAACGGCGGACGCAAAGTCGGCAAACAACTCAATGCCACCTGGACAGGACAGTTGAACGCAACGTTTGTGAGCAAACAGGACTGGGGAATAAACGGCGAAAGCACCCCAGAAGACGAGAGCTCAGATGAAGGGTCGGAGGCGGAATCGTTCACCGTCTCGGAACAGGAGACCTTCGATGAACTCGCACCTACGGAACCAATGAGTCCACGGTGCAAGAGCGTAGTAAGACGCATGGCAAAACACGCCCACGCGAAGATTAGGGCCGAACGAGACAAGCCCAATGGCCAGAGGAGAATCCCCATGCTTAAAGACCTCTACGGGAACCTGTTACAGGAACTTCCGTTAAAGTGCAAGGTGGACGACTGCAAGGATGACCTCTGGAGATACTACGACCAACTAACGAATACCCGCAGGCTGCTTGGCACGTCCCAAGACGTAGCTAAGTTGGAAGCCCAAGAAGCGGAAGAACTGGAGAAGGATGTCGAGCATATGGCTAAACTGAAGTATATGAAAAGCGTCGAACTTTACTACCAGGACCGCAGGAGAGCCCTGAAGAAGTACGACGAGAAAGCCAGAGATATGCTCCGACGGGAAAATGCGAGACCCACTCCACGCATCGAAAGGAGAGCCATGGAGCAACTAGACACGTTCTCCACGCCTCCGAGGGAAGATAGTGCATGGGTGAGAGGACAGCGGGAACTATCAATGACAGACGCAACAGAGACTGATCATCCCTGGCACGCGTATGTCTACTGGGAGTATTGCAGCGAAGATGATTGCAAGCTCCACTGGAAAAAGAAACACCAGAATCAGTTGTTTCCCCGATCCTCGCCCAGGATACACTTCAGAGATGCAGAGCAAGTTCACGCCCTCAGGCGAAGCCAGTCTGAAGGGGACTTGCCTATCAAAAGCGAACAGGTATACGAGAAATACCCACATCTGCTAGACGAAGCAGAAGAGCGAGGGAAACGATCTCCCCAAGGACCACCATTGGAAGCGGATGAATACTATCCTTCCTCGGATGAGTCAAAAAACTAGGAGTCCTCGACGGTAGGCCACCGGCGAGCGACATGAAAAGGCCTAGTACAGACCAGCTATGCGCCACGACGGGCAGCATGCAACTATATGTGGTCGCTAAGATACAACAGCGACACCTCCGAGCAATGATTGACTCAGGAGCGACGGGCAACTTTATGACAAAGAAAGTAGCAGACACGCAAGGTTTCAAGACGCAATTGAAAACCGAACCATACCCGTTAATGGTCGTAGATGGAGAGCCCATCTCGACTAATGAAGGAATGGTGACCCACGAAACGGTCCCATTGGAAATGGTCATGCTACACGGGCACAAGGAAACGATTCAGTTTGACATCGTGCACATGGACAACCATGCGTGCATCCTTGGTGTGCCATGGCTCAAGAAACACAACCCCCAGATCGACTGGTGGAACGAGAAAGTTGTGATGAGCCAGTGCGCGTGTGAACAACGGACGGACACGCGACAACGGGAGAAACCCTCCCAGGGCCGGAAGGAGTTATGTGCAACCTCCGAGCTCGATGACCTAGCCCAGGCATCCTCACCGACGAGTATACCGGTGGAGTACAAGGAATACGAGCGATTATTCCAGGAAGGCCCTAAGAATGAGGCGCTTCCTAAGCACCAACCATGGGATCACGAGATACCTTTGGAGAAAGACAAGAG